CTGTTATACAAACTGTTATACACATATTTAAAAGCTTTTGTGACTTTCGTAATACACAGTTATAGTGAAATATATGAAAAATGAGCGTTCGTGTTTTAAAATTTAATTACTTATTAAAAATTATATGAGTTTTCCCACGAAAATCCAAATTGCTAAGCTTGAAAGTTATCTCTGCGTTCCATTTTCAGTATCAAGCCACAACTTGCTTAGCGACACATTCGTGTCTACGTTTAGTATTTACTTTCTAGTTATATGTATATAATTTTTATGGCATGGTGTGAAGAGCAATATTCTATAGATGCATACCATCTCTTGTATACATCTCAATTCACACAGTTATCATAAATCTCTACTGAAACATCTTCGCGTGCCTTTCAACTTTACACAAAAACTAAATTAACATAAATTTCAACACTCTTTCCTGTGGAGATCATTAAATCTCCCACACAAATAAAAAATCTATATTTATGTATAACAGTTCACCGATCTTTACTCAGAAACAACAAATGAACAGCAGTGATCGTGACAAGGTATGATCAGCACTGATCGATTGCCGCCTCTACATGATAAATAACCAAATTTTGCATTTTATTGCAATACTTTAACGATCACTGAACGCCAAACTTACAAATTTACATTTACTGGGCCACGCTCTAGGCAATGATCGCACAAGTGGTGATCGGCGCACATTTTTTCTACAGCACATTGCCGACAATAAACAGTTTTCGCTTTTCTTTAAACGTTTTTTTTTTGAATACTTTTCGATTTATACATTTTTGCTGTTCTAAAATGTATACAGAGAACAAGATCAGTCGAGTAGAGTAAGAAGCAATATAGAAATAAAGAGCGCGTATTACGGGTAGTGGAGAGGCGTGGTGGGATCGCAAAAAACGATAACAAAGAAAAGATATGTACAAATGGCGATAAAGAAAGAGCCAGAGTGCGAGAGAGCGAAAGTTGAGGCAAGGCACACTCAGTAATTTGGAGCAACGCTAAGTCAATTTGATTGATAGCTGGCAAAGCAATGCAAGGCAAGGCGAGCCGTGTCTGTTTAGGTAGCGGCAAGCTGCAGGTGGGAGCGTAGGCCTTGTGCTGGTGCCGTTGCCGGCGGGGGAGCGGAAGAGGGGTGCGCGCGAGTGTAAATTATGCATTATGTGTGCCGAAATGCGCGCATTATCATTACGGGCGGGAGGGAGGCGCGCGCGCTGAGTAATTGCCTGTGAATAGCTTGCATGCATAACTTGTTCTTACTTAGTTATTTATTTGTTTAATATATATTTGTGTTTATAAATTTTTAGTAGCCGTTTTCGCTTTCGTGTATGCAAAGCAGATGCGAAGACTTTTTTTGGGGTTTTAAGGTATTATACTCTTTGTAAGGCTTGCGGTTGTATTTGTTGCTGTATTAAATGTGTGCTTTCATTCGAAAGGGCGCATTTGGTGGTGTATTTTTAGGGAAAACGTTTCTTCTTTTTTTTAAATTTAAATAAGACTCGCTTGTGCTTAATGATGAGAACAATACTAAAAAGTGTATAAATAGTAATTAAACGTTTAATATTTAGTTCTATATACATAAATAAAATAATATTATCTTAATAAAAAATTTTGGAAAATAAAAAAAAGTATTACAAAAATTTTACAAAATAAATACTACTTCATTGCATTTTGATGCAATGCTAAAAATAACTAAAAAAGTTAAAAAAATGTAAATTAAAGAATTTAAAAATTTAAATTAAAAAAATTAAGTTCAATTATTTGAAGGCATAAAAATTAATAAGAAATTTATTGTATAAAAATTAAATACTTGCATTAAAATTATTACTTCAAACGAATATATTGTATTTTAAAAACTTGTTCATAAAAAATAATTTATATAAATAAAAAATAATAATATTAATAAAATATTACATTCAACTGAAATAAGTTAAATAAAACTATTTCAGAAATTATGTAAGTAACAAAATTAGAATAAAATATTTGTAAAAGGCTTAAAAATGATTTCTATTATGCAAAAATTAAAAATTTGAAACAAATTAAAAATGGAAAAAAATCTATGTATAGGTTTGAAGAAAAAATTTAAATAAAAATGTCGGAATTCAAAAATTTAGACATAAGAAAATTTAATACGTTTGTCTAAAACTTAATATTATTTTAAAACTTAAAATAGTCAAAAAAAAAATTAAAAAATTTTTCAAAAAAATACAAAATAAAAATATTTGTTATACATTGGTTTGAAGAAAATTAAAAAAATAAAAAAATGTATATACAAATTTCGGAACCCAAAAGTTTAAAGATGAAAAAAATTAAATATGGTAGTCTAAAACTTAATAAAATATTTGTAAAATGTTAAAAGAAATTTTTTTAAATGAGAATGCAAAAAAATTAATTTAAAAAAAAAATTAATTAAAAATAAAAATAAAAATTAATTAAAAAAAAAAATTTTATGAAAAAATTTTATCCAATAATTCAAAAATTTAAAAATTAAAAAAAATTTTAAATAGTTTTGTCTAAAATTGTATATGAAAATAATTATGATTTGTTTATTTAAAACAAATTTTTCGTAAATTAATAAACGGAATCTAAATAGAAAAATATGCAAATATCTCGCATGATTTAAAAAATATTAAATAAATAAATCTATAAGTGTATACAAAAAATTCACGAAATTTGAAAAAAGTGCAACAATTCAAAATTAGTCAATAAAACAAATTATTCTTTTGAAAAAATATCAAAGCCGCTAAACTTTTCTCTATAACAATAAGCAGTCAAACAACAAACAAAAAAAACATTCCTTAACTTTTTAATTAAAATCCACAATATTTGCATTACTTCCGAAGTAATTAAACACAAAAATATTTCCCGGCTGTTCAAAATACTTAGAAACTCAACATTGTTTAGGGAGAATACGCCAAGATAACGCCATTGTGCAAGAATAATATTAACAACAGCTAAACTAATAGCAACAACAGCAATAATAAACAACAAAAAGAAAAACCGACAAACGACAAGAAAAAACGTCTGTATGTAATGAGATTATGTAGAGCAAAAATTTCAATAGTAAAAGATAACAACAAAAACACAAGCGGTGTAGTGAAACAAGAAATTTTAATTTATTTGGCAAATACATACGTACACACAAATATATGCAAATATATATACATGTAGCGTTTACTTTTTGCAAGCAGCCGAAAGTAACAACAACCAATTATGATATACAAATAAATCTACAATATATATACATAAATGTATATTTACATATGCATATATATAAGTGTATGTATGTACTCATGTATGTTTGTGATAAAATTCAAAAAAAATTGTAACAACTTCAAAGACGATAGCGATATGAGTGAGAGTAGCGCAGCATAAAAAAATAAGCAATTTATAATAACAACAACAAAAAAAAAACAATTACGTTTACTAAATGACTGTTATATGCAGTGGCGTGCGAGTAGTGATTTTTTTTTTAAGAGAGCAGCTCTTAGCACACAGAAATCCAAAAAAATTTAGTAGAAAAAGTAAAAAAAAAGTGGCCGGGAGTAGTTCAGAGTTATAATAATCGGTATTTGAAGCAGAAATGGTTTGTGGAAAAATTTTGGGACTAGAAAAAAATTTTCTTTGGAAGAATTGTTGAAGCAGAAATGGTTTGTGGAAAAACTTTGGGACTAGAAAAAAATTTTCTTTGGAAGAAAATTGCTTTTTTATTAACATTTTCAATATAACGGCAAAGTAACAAACTGCCGTTGGCGTCAAAGTACTATTAGACACTGTTTCGAACTGTTATAAAACTGTTATACACTGTTATACTATTATAAAAACTGTTATACTGTTGTTTTTGTGTTAAGAAAGCTAAACTTTTGTTTTTTGTTTGCTAAAACTAACATAGTTATATTAAGTTAGATATGAAGCTGTTATATGGCATCGAAATTATGAATTTATTATAACAAAAACTTTGTGAAATGTTTTATTAACGTTCCCAATCCTTTAATATATTCATAAATAATAACAGAAACTTAAGTTTAGAGTACTAGACAATACTTTTATAAACAGTTAAACTATTATAAAAACTGTTATACTGTTGTCTTTTGTGTTTAAAATAGTTCATATAAAGTTAAATAAAAATATACATAAGTTTTCTCTACTAAAGAACACTGTTATAAATTAAATAAAATATCGATTTGAGATGTCAACCATTCAGGAATGATTTTTTTATTACCTAACCTAACCTAACCTATAGTAGAAGTTTTTAAAAATCTGCGTAGTTAAACTAACTAAATTATTATGGGGTCTATTTGGAGATGCTAAAATTAAAAATTCTTTATTGGACTCTTAAATAAACTGTTATACAAGCAATTACATGCCAGGTTTCAAACAAAATTATTTGATTATTACATTTTAATGCGTAATAAACTTAAAACGATTAAAGGTTAAGATTTTGTAACTGTTATACAAAGCAATATACTTAGTATATTGCATTTAATTTTTGAAAATATATATTTAATTTGCTTAAAAATATTTTTTGGTAGTATTATAATAGAAAACCATCACAAATTAACATTTTGTAACTATTATGCAAAGTGTTATACAATTTATATTGGGTATACTCTTTGTGAAATGTATTTAATTTGCATAGAAATGTTTTAATGGGCGGAATAAAACTATAAAATCATTGCAAATTATATTTCATAACTGTTATACAAACTGTTATATCACTTACATAACAGTAATTTTGGTTAAATTGCATTTAATTTGCATAAATATGCTTCTATCAGCAATTTATTTTATTAAAATTTGTCCCCCTCCTACACCACCTACACCACTGCCTTGACCAAATAGTTGTGGTCGCTAAACATTCAGCTTTTCGTCATCGAACGCGGAAATTTTATCAAGATTCAGAAACCGCGTGGCTGACTATATACGTGCATTTTGCTTTTGATATGTATTTAAAGTTGTATGCCAATTACTATTTTTGTTGCTAATACAGTTTAACATAATATTTTCAGCTTTACATCACACTTCGGCAATAAGACGGAGACACGCAAGCAATTGAATTAATAAAAGTGCAGCTAATTGAAGTGAAACATAGTAGCGGCGACAAGTGAGTAAGTGAGTAATAAATAAGTGGCTGATAAGCAAAGAAAAATAAATAAATAAAATCCCACCAAAGAATGAAATAATTAAAAGTAAAAGTTGTAAGAAACGTGGAAATTTTGAAAATCGCTTGAAATTGTTAACAGTGAAGTTTGCATAAAGTTGACAAATATTTAGCAAAATTTAAAAATTTGCATTATAACAAAAAATACTAAAAATTATAGCAAAAAAAATTATTTAAAAAAATTAATATTAATTAATAATAATTAAACATAATTAATAAAATAAAAAAAAATTGTGCTTCAAAACTAATTTTACTAAGCCGCCTGTGTACTTTTGACGTATGCATTCGTAACGCCGAATCAACCTGTTTCATTGTTGTTGTTTGGTTGGTAATTTGCAGTGCCTACGGCTGCACCGACAGCTGATGATGACAACCACCACCACAACAATATAAATGAAATTTAATTGCCATTAAAAAAATGAAGAAGACGAAAAATTAACAAGGCAAGGCGGTGATAAAGTAGTGTAAAGAAGAGTCTAAGGTTAATGGTAAAATTTACCATATATGTAGTGAAGAAAATTAAATAAAACTACAAGAAGATACAGGAACTGACGCATTTCGGCGTAGATAAGCAGGTGAGTAAGCCAATTATAAAAAAATTGTTTAATAAAAGCGTAAGAGGCTAATACTCTGAGCACGTTATAAGCATGCTTTATGAGTTTTTGCTAGTTTTGTAGATAATAATACTCTCTTCTAAGAACTGAGCGCACACATGCCGAAAATGTTCGTCGCAACTGGTGTGATTATTTTTTATATCCTTAAGCTTATACTTCGTATAGTAGGTATTAATTTTGGTGTATCTATCACCTTACAATATAGACAGTTTTACCACAAAAGTGTAATAAAAACTGTTATACTGGCATAATTACACATTATTATACATTTTAAATGATTTCCATGGGCTCTATAGATTCTAAAGTAGTTTTTTTTATATCTTTTGACAAACTGTTATACGCTAATAATAACTGTTATACGAGCAAGTACATTTCTATAAATTTCGAAAAGCAACATTTTAATTTCATATCTATACAAAATTTTTTAAAAATTTTTACCTACTGTTATAAAAACTGTTATACAAATTTTAATGTAACTGGTGCTGTATTTGAAACAAATTAATTAGGTCAATGCAATCTAGAAACGGACTTTTACGTTTATACAAACTGTTATACTGTTATGAAAACTGTTATACTGTTATACAAATAATTTTATTTTTATCAAACATTAACGGAATTGAACAGAAAGTAACAATAGGTGTAATGTAGTGTGAGGGGAGAATTCGTGAAATAATGCAAAGGTTTTACGGTGAAAAATTTATTCGAAAAAAGTTCAATACTATATACATAGGTCAAACAATAAAGTTCATGTACCTATAAGTCTAAACGTCTTTAATAAAGCACAAATAATTCTACTTTCGAGCAATTTGTTCGGGCTAAACGCAACTCCGTCCATGCTATTGTGCAGCAACTACTGTACCATTATGAGTTAAGCTAGGGATGATTGTTATATATATAATAGTTGACATTTTTGAGTAGAAACAAAAACCTTAAACTTATTGAGTCGTAGTGGTGACAGAATCCACTTTCTTTTGGTGTCGAAAATATAGTAGAAACGACTCCTTCGTTTGGTGAGTCGCAAAATTATTTGTACCCAACCTGAGCAATAAGAAAAGAGTTATTTAGGTGACACAATATGGATCTATAGTCAAAATTGTACATAAAAAATTGCGTGCTTTTTAGTAGAGATAAGAACCAAAAAGTTTCCGGCGCTGTCTAAACCATGAATTTAATTCTGGTATAGAATCTGCGGAGTCTCCTTTAAAAAGCTATACGAAAACCAAGCCTTAATGACTGAGTTAATGGCTACTGTGCCATTCTTGACACCATACGAATCAGTTTTGAGATTTTGAAAATTTGGAGAGAACATTCTTGAGGTTGAGAAAGTTTAGCACGACCTTACCTAGCGCTTAGTAGTATTGTTTTTCATCGCGTGTAGTGGATTTATTCTACTGAGCCTGTAGTTTTTAACTACTGAAATTTCCTATGGCGCCCAAAAACGCACACAATTTTTAATTCCAGATTTTGGAATGCTATGTTTACACAAACTTAGTTTATAGTTTATTTACACGCTACTTTTATGCAAACACTGTCTATGAAAATGATCGCAGCAAAAACGACAAATAAAAACAATGGTCAGAAAAGTATGCGGAGCAGAAGTCTAAAAGAACTAAACTGTCAACTGAAACCAAAACTGAAGTAAAAAAAAGGAAAAATGCCTCAAGCAAACTGACGGAATGTTAAAACGAAACATACAAATTGACAGACATATACACAAAAACGCACATACATATACATATGTTGCTTTAAGTGGCTGCGTGAGTATAGTGCTCGCGTGAGTCAGTGAATTGGTGAATGAGTGCTTACGAAATGTCTTCGGCCAAAGGCAATATGAGCGCAACTGTCAGCGCTACTTTGCCGCTTTGATGACTATGCTGACATTTGTTGAATGGTGACGTTTGGCTGTAAATTGTTTTGCATTTGCTTGTTATATTATTAACGGTACTTTTTTGTATTTAATTTTTTCTTTTTTTTTTATATTTATATGATTTTTCCTTTATTTGTGGTTTTTTTTGTAACTTAAAATTTATCTTATGCATTTTTTAAATTTATTTTAATTATTAATTTTTTAATTATTTTTTTATTTTTGTTTTATATGCTTTCTGTTGCACATTGTGCTTCTTGTTGTTAAACGCCACGTTGATGGACGTTAGCGTAAATAAGCCTGACAGCAGATGGCCAAGTAAAATGACATTTAATAAAATGTTACATGCACACCAAGATATAGCAAAGCATATAGTCAATGTGCAAAATATTTAGTATATAGAAATAAAGCAAAATAATTGAAAAGAGTACTTGATGAATTCCAAAAAATTCATATAAGACAAATTACAAGTACATTGTTGAACCAAAAAACAAAATATATATATAAAAAAATAAGAAAAATTAGAAAACTGAAAACTAATGAAAACAAAAAATAAAACAATAACAAAAAAAATTTTGAATAAATTCGACGAGATTTAAGAAATAATTAACAAAAGAAAAAAGTAGATAAAACTAGAGTAAATCACGAATTCCAAGAAATTCGCAAATTTACAAAAAAAACTATAACTAAAATAAGAAAAACTTTAGAGCTAAAATAAAAGTAAAAATAATAATAATAGTACTAGAAAATAAAAAAAATATAAAATAAATAAAAGTTGTGAGAATAAATTTTATTCAACGGGATTAAAAAAGTAATTAAAATAGAAAAATAATTCAATTAAAATTAAAAAATAGTTTAAAAAAAATAAATATAATAAATAAATAAAAAATAAATAAACAAGTAAAATAAAGCACAAAATTAGAAAATGTGACGGGAAAAAAGTAAAACAAATGGAATTAAAAAACTAAATAAAGTTAAATAAATATTTTAATAAACTTTTTTTGACGAGTATTAAAAAAAATAAAGAAATAATAAGAATTAAAATAAAATTTTAAAATGTAAATAGTATAAGACTTGTATAAATAGGAAATAAAAAAAATCGAAGAGTTAAAATGCGAAATAAAATGAAATAAAACTGTTGCCAAAAGATTAAAGGAAATAAAGAAATAAAATAAAATAATAACTAAAAGTATATTAAATAAAATTTGCATAAAGAAGAATTAAAAAATTAAGAAAAAATAAATAAAATAAGCTACAAAAAGATTCAAAAAAAAAAAAAAAAAAATATAAAAAAATTGTCAAATTGTTAAAAAAAAATGTTTTAGAAATTAAGGAAAGTTAATAAAAACAATAAAAATTATAAAAAAGTATACTAAAATAAATTTACACCAGAAAAATGTCAAAGTGTTAAAAACAAATAAAACAAATTACAAGTCCAAAAATTAAAAAAAGTCAACAAAATGAAGAAAATGATTATTTATTATACCGAAATTTGAAATTTGGAACAAAATTTTTCAATTAGCGTTAATTTTTACCCAGTATAAAAATTTTAATCATAAATATTCATGACAACTACAATAAAATTTGTAAATATATGGCATGGTGTTAATTTAATCCACCAACAATGTGGATACTCAAATTTATTGTTCAGCTTCACTTGCTGTAAATGTTTTTTCGAGAAGCCAATGTCCCAAATATTCATCAACTCAAAGCTCATGACATAATATAATATAATACCACACACAATAATTCATTTTAAAAATAGCAATATATTCGATAGGCGTATACTACGGGGAACAAATACAAAAGCACATGATAACATGGACCGCAAGGCGACAGACAAAATAAAAACAAATAGTAAAACAACAATGTATCGATAAAAACTTTTACTATTCAACCTTCACCAGCAGGCTATTGGTCATTTAAGGCACAAGGCAAATTTATTGCCTCCCCCACAAAGTGAAAAATATGGATTTCAGAACGGCAGTGATTACTAGTTACTGTAACTACGTTTGGGAAGGGAAGGGGCTGTGGCAACTGTTGCCACTAGCCATAAAAGGCGTTGTTGCAAATAATGATTAAATGGCATAAACTTAAATTTATGACAGTGACTCAGCAAAAAAAAAAAAAAAAAACTATACGAAGCAAAAAAAAATTGCTAATAGCAACAACAATCATGATACAAAAATGAAAATAATAATTGTGTGACTTGCGGGTGAAACCTGACAAAAGCACTCAAACTGTCAAAGTCAGGCGGGAAAATGCAAAAAAAAAATTGAACCAACAAAAATTAAAATATTGCGAAACACATGAGGGAAAACTAAAGCGTTAGGGGAGTAAAACGCACAGCTGGAATGAGATAGAGAAAGTTTGCTTGTTTTTGTCAGCCACACTATCAATAAAAGCTGTTGGCTACCGTTATTTGGTGAAATTGATGCGCATTTTATGCTAATATTAGTATTTTTTGCGAGAGAATTGATAAGCGTATTTTTGGGATAAAAATAAAATAAAAAGCTTTCATGAGAACTTTGATCTACGTTTTTATATTTTTGACAAAAAATATATTTGTTTAAAAAGATTACTGTATTTGTTTCACAAACGGAAAAGCTTGGAATCCAACCAGCTTAAAAGCATTTACTTAAATTTCAAATGAGAAACTTAGTTGATTTTTTATTGTTAAAGAAAATTGTAAAACCTTTATAGCGTTAATGTCAAAGCTTTTATAAATACTATCGAAAACAATGGAAAAGCGATTACCTAACGAGCTTATTGAAATTTAAGTGTTAAAAATGATTTTATAAGTTATGAAAGCCCTAAAATAAAATCTTTTACAAATACCAAAATTTTCAAAAGTCAGTTAAGGTTGAAAAGCTCATTAAAATAACTTGCTTAAAATGTGTGTAAAAAGCTTTAAATGTAAAATTAGTATGGCATTGATGGTTGAAGTTGTAAATAATGTAAAAATTATGAAAGCTTTAAAGGGAAAGCTTTTACAAATATTAAAATTTCTTCAAGTTAGTTATGATGAAAATATCGTGGTAATAATAAATATTGATAGTTCTAATCATTTACAAAATAAAGTAAGAAACTCTCGAAA